CGGGGGCAAGGCCAGGAGGTTGACCAGCTCGCCGAAAAGGTCTGACTTGGGGTCCACAGGCTGCTTAGTCATCTCGAACAGGAGATCCCAGATGCCGTCAAAGTCTGGGTACAGTCGGGAGCAGCCTAACGAGTCACTGATCTCCCACTCGCCTCGGGAGACTTGGTCTGACAAGTTTGCCTTACTTGCAACTCTGACGAAAATTAGGTTGAGTCTGACAGTAGCAGCCCAGCACCAAAACCAGCCTAACAGGTTGGTCAAAAGAGGGTCCTTGGAGTAGCCTTTCTTCAAGGCGTGCTCACTGGCCACGTTGTCGACAAAGCACAGCACGTCACCGGACAGGACCCTGGCTGCTGCTGCTATGCTGACGATCTGTCCTATCGCCTCCAACCAAAAGATGAAGGCCTTGGTGGTGGCAGCTCGTGCTAACAAGTGCCTGGGAACCGTGGCTCTGTAAGCCCACCTTTGTCCTGAGTTCGCGAACAGGACTGCACCGAGTCCGTTCACAGATCCTCGCAAGACCTGCAAAGGAGTGGTTTGTTTCAACCACTTGGCAGCTGACTGAAAGCATCCTGCCAATGTCACGAAAGCGTCTGCGTACAGGACGTGCGGACGTGGGGTGTTCACTCCTCTTTGCAACGGGAACTCTCGGGGCTTCAGGGAAGGTAAAAGGGCTAACAGGTTTCTTAGGGCAGCTGAAAGGGGTTCGTTAAGCTTTTTCTGCGGGAAAGGGGAGTGCTGACGTGTGTAAATGCACTTTAGCAGTGCCTTGCCTGCTCCGCCAAAAACCCACGAGCAAACGAAGTTGAGTTTTCCTGCCAGGTGGGCGGCTTCTTCGGGTGTCAGGCTGTCGTCTGACAGGATTCTCTCGAGAAGCGACTGGAGTTTCTCCAGTCGTCCTTGACTGGGTCCCGCTGTGACGGTCTGCTGAAGGATCTCCCAAAGGACCCCTAACAGGGTAGACTTGGGGCAAGGTTTTTGGGCTTTGCTCTCTTTCATGGTGAAGCCTAACAGGGACTGTAGCTGGCAGAAGCACTCAAAAGCTGAGTCTGCTGTCTTGTCAGGCTCGCTGAAGTAGAAGTCGTCTACAAAATGAGAAGCTGGGATATATGCCAGAACTAACGTGATCAAGCAAATGACATCTGCAATCCTCAAGTAAGCCCAGACACTGCCTGTCCCTCCAAAAGGAAGGACAAGGTGTTGAAAAACCTCAGGTCCTTTCTCTGACGGGACAAACACAAAGCATTCGTCAGGGTTCCTGACTGGGAGTGCCCTATAGGCACCATCGTGGTCAAGAGCTGCCAGAACTGGCCGGCCGAAATCTGCTGCTGCTTGGACTGACGTGAGGACCGTCTGCGTCCCTGCATAAGGCGGTGAGTCAAGGACGAACACCGTGCTGTTGTGTCCTGACCGGCGCCAGTCATCTGCTCGGCGCACCTTGTCCTGCTGAACTACCGGGAAGGCTCGGGATCCGAAAGCTGCTGGGGAGTCTGCCACTTCGGCAGGCACGAACGGGCCTTGGAACCTGGTCTTGAGCATCTCCTTGTGAACCTCGGCTAACATGGCAGGGGCGTGTTCGGAACCTCCCTGCTCCTGAGCCAGGGTCTTCTTATGGTCGCTGTTCAGGGATGCGAACTGGGATTTTGTCAGAGGTCTGCTATATTTCCCGTCCTGTCGGACGTCCCAGTTTGTGCCAGGAGGGAGGGGACCTAAAACCTTAAACCCGAACTGGAGTTCGTCAGCAAGGTCCTGAACTCCAGGGAACTCAAACAGGCGCAAAAGGTGCAGAACCACTAAGGGCTGTAGGACGAACTTGTCACCGCCTTGCCTGTACACCAGTCGAACGTGGTGTGGTGCGGACTGCAACCAAACTTCCTGTTCGTCTTGCAGGTCTTCTCGTAGTGACTGGACGTCCCGGACGACCTCTTGTCTCCACCTTACAAGTTCGGGGCCTAAGGACTGGCCAAACCTGAGTGCCCATGTTAGACACGGGTTGTGAGGCGGGAAGTTCAAGGCAACGCTGTCGATGCGCAAGGCCCACTGAAGGTGTTCTAACGGGTCGTCAGAAGGGCCTAGTAACTGTAAGGCCTCGGCCTCGCGTGGGTCCCACTGCAGGCCGGACCTCAACCAAACGGCTGCAGCTCGCTCCACTGGCCGTGAACCTAACGGGTTTAGGTTAGAGGACCAAGGTAGCGGTACAACTGTCGGGTACCACGCCTCGACCGGTCCGGACGTGACTGGGATCACGTTACAAGCGGCCAGAAGCACGAACAGTAGGAAGCGTGCTGTCGGAAGATGCCAAGAGTTTCCCAGCATCTTGCACCTGGTCTTCTCGCTAACCGGCTGGCCTGGGGGGAGTGTCGTTCCTGCAGGTAGTCCTTGCAGCCACTCACGGGTTGCGGCATCAGGCGTCGTCAACCGCCCCTGAATAGTCACCAGGGCTCGGGTGCGGTACTGATACGGCGGGAACTGACGGGAGGCGGCTGCCCACCTTCGCAGAGTTTCGGGGCTTTCGGTGCGTCTGCGTTTCTGTGGTGGGTCCCTGCCGCTCGCGGAAGGTGCTGGCGTTGTGAGACATGGAAAAACCTGACCGGTTGGCCACCACATCTGGATGAAAAACTGCGTACGGGCAGTCGGCCGCGTTCTGCTTTGGAAACAAGTTCGAACTTGGAACCAACTGCCAACAGCGATTATATCGTCGCCAGCGCGCTAGTCCTGCCAGGACTACTGGGGGTTGGTTGCTGTCTAACGTGGGCGGCGTCAACACGTTCGACCACCAGAGCCTTGGCCGCGAAACCACTCCCCAGGAGGCCGCGTCGACCACAAAGGAGTTGTGGCCAACTAACTTGTCTAGTTCGCGGTGAACTTCTCCTGACGGGAGGACGTTCTCGACTAGGAAGACGTGTTGCAACTTCAAGGTCTTCCGAAAGGAAGAAAGCCACTGGCACCACTGACGGAACTTGCAGCCTTCCTGACCTTGCAAGCCTGGCGGTGAGGTTCGGACTTGACTGAAGTCGGTGCACGGGGGGCTGGAGCACACCAAAACAAGTGTGTCGGCAGGGCACTGCGAGTGTAAAAGGGCTGCAACCTGACAGGGGTCAAAGGACAAGGCATCCCCCCAATGACGGGTATAGGGGGAGTGAGCGGAGGTGACACGACGGCACTCGGGGTCAGTCTCCCAAGACCAAAGGAGAACAGGGTGTATGTCCAAGTCACGTAAAGCCAAGAAGGTGGTGCCGATGCCGCAGAAAAAGGAAAGGACTGCAATCCCCCCAGACGAGGGAGTGGGCGCCCGGTGAGGCTCGGAAGTGTGTCGTGGTGGCTGCTGACGGGTGGCGGGTAGTGCAGGGTTGGAGTGAAGGCCAAGTCCAGTTTGGCCTGACTGGGAGTCGGAGTGGGCTTGCAGTGGGAGCTCACCGGACAGGGAGCTCGACGCACGGGTGCTAGCAGGGGTGTGCTCAACCTGACGGGAGCACAACGCACGGGTGTGGGTACTGGGAGGCTGTGCGGTGTGGCCTGGAGGTGAAGTTTGAGCGGCTGGCGATCCGCCCTTGTTGGAAAGCGGTGTAGCAGGGAGAGTTGTGACAGACTGGGCGGAAGCAGAGGCGAGGGTAGGCCTTACCGCGGCGTGCGCGCCTGGCAGCGTGCAGGCCTGAATGGGCGCAACTTGCTGCGGTCGCACCGGGTGAAGGCTAGGGTTAGGGCCCGCACACCGGGAGGGTGCAGGAAAGCACGGGTTCGGGCAAGAGCAGCAAGGGCCTGACGGGGAAGTCCAACCTAGGGGTTTAGGGCCTGCACACCCTGAGGGTGCAAGGAGACACGGGTTAGGGATACCCCGAGGGACACCTGCTGGACAAGTCCTGACGGGGGGCCTAGGGCCTGCACACCCGGGCGGTGCAGGGAGACACGGGTTGGGTAGGTTGCTGCACGCGCCTGAAGAAGTCCCACCTGAAAGCTGAGGCTGAGGAGTGGGCGGAGTGGGTTCTGTCTGCTGCCCTTCCTGTGAACGGTCGGCTCTCGCTGACGGGGCGGACAGCGGGCCGCGCTGTCCCTAAGGACGGGGCCCCGGGGCGAACGGGGCTGCTGGAAACACTGGCGGGAAGTGTGGAGACGGGGCTTGCTGGTTTGGTGCCTGGTTTCCGTGCGCGAACTTGCAGGACGCTCCAAACTTGCAGTAGCCTTGTGCAAACAAACGGCACTGAGGACGGGACTGCGTGAACTGAGCAGCTGGCCGATACGGGTGTGGCTGCCACGGTCTTAGGAAGCCTTTGCCTTTGCCTGGATCGGAGCCCTTCCAGGAGTCAAAAGCTTTCCCTTTGTGTCCTTTGTGATCGCCCTTCTGCCCGAAGTCGCCCTTGGTCCTGCGGGGCTCCGTGCTCTCTGACGGGGCAGGGCGATTCAGTTCGTCCTGCTTGGGCCAAGACCTCACCTCAGCGGAGGCTTCACTGAAAGACTTGCTGGCACGCATCTGCAAGGTCACGTGCAGAAAGGCCTTGTCGAAAAACGCCCTAACTTGCGGTGTCCTGCTAGGGTAGTCTCTGCACAGGTTCTGCCAAAACTCGGCCCACACAGACGCGTCATGCTCGTCACACCAGCGGGCAAACATGAGCGCCCATTTGATGGCCTCGATCGCATCCAGCATGGTGACGAGTTTCTGAGGTTCGGGTACCTGACGGGAAGCCTTAGTGAAGGTTCCTGACTCATCAAGGATGAGTCGGGTCTTGCTGTCGTCCTTGGGAGCAAACGGGTTTGCTGACTTGCTAGGGGTAAAGTGCCTCAAGGAGATTATTTCTCCTAAGCGAACTGGTGAGTACTGCTTCGACGATTGGTGCTGATGCACCATTCTGGAGAGGACTTCCTCAGCTCCTAAGAGGAGGTGGGCTGGAAAAACCCTGTTCCGTCCTAACAAGGTGACCGACTCGAACTCCTTCACGTACTCTGACCAGTAGTTCTTAGGAAGAACTTTGGGCACTTTCTCAGTGGCTTCAGACTGAGAGGCCTGGGCCTGAGAACCTGACGGGGAGGCAGAGGCTGGGGCTGTGGGGCTCATGAGCTGCGTGTGCAAAAGCGTCAGCTCATCAAGAGCTACCTTGGTCGCAGCCTCAAGTATGAGGCGCTCATCATCGGATTTCTTGACTGTGGATCCATTGATCTCAACTCCTGCTCGAAGGGGCTCCCAGAAAGGGCCTATGTTCCCGCTGTCCTTGAAAAAGTGAAGGAACAGGCCACTATTCGAGATCCCCTTCTGTTTCAAAAACGCTACCATCTCTTTGTCGAAGCCGGACCGGGCGGCCACGTCATTGAGGTCTGGCAGAGCTGCTGGCTGCGTCATGGGGTTCTTCTGATCC